AAACCCTAAAAGAAATTTAGTTAAATAGAAACTTATTTATACTTACATAAAAGATAATAGATCTTATATTAAAAATAACTACTAATAGTTATAAGTTATTAAATTATAGGACTTAGTATAGTTATTTTATTAATCTTATTATAAGTTATATAACTATAGTAAAATTCTATATAAATAAGGAAAACCCCCTCTTCCTTAGCTAAGAAATCCTAGGCTAATCCTAGTAATATTATTAGTAAAATTACTATAAGTAAGGTAATTTTACTGCTTATTCCCCTATAATTTACTATAAGGTAATTATATATTTATTAGTTAATTTATATATAATTCTACTATATTTAATACACCTTCTTAGTAATAGTAATATATTTAATTACTATAAAGCCTGCGCTAAATATTTACTATATATAGCTTATTTATTTATTAATTATCCCTTAATATTCCCTAGGTTTCCTTTCTTTATATAGTAAAGAAGCTTTACTTTATTATTAGCTAATTATTACTATTAATTCCCTTAAGGCGTGCGCCTTAGTTACTTTTATTTAATTACGCTATAAATTTAGTAAACTATAGCGCACTAAGCGCCTTTATTAATCTATTAGATCTTAATTTAGCTAACTTCTTATATTTAATAGTAACCTAATTTAGGGTTAGGGTTAGTATAAAAAGACTAAATATAATATATAAACCTATAAGGTAGTTTAACCAAGAAATACAACTATACAAAAGAGTACGCAGGTCACCTGTTTTATTACTATAATTAAATAGTTACACACTTATAAAGGCAATTAATATCTAACTCACCCCCTTAAGGGCTTATAAAGCTTATAGGCCTTAGACACGTTATGTTATATAAGGTAGAAACCCTAGATTCCTAGGTAAAGACCCTCTATTATGTATGTCGCGACCGTGCATTAAACTTAGTTAATTAACTAGAAGCTAGGCTTATAACCACTAAGAAATGCGACTATATAAAAGAGTACGCAGGTCACCTGTTTTGTTACTATAATTAAATAGTTACACACTTATAAGGGCAATTAATATCTAACTGTTTAGAATAGTAATAAAGAATAAGGTAATATATATTTTTAATTAACTTTATATAATTTAGTTAGATTAACTTATAGAAATAATTATAAGATAAAAGATATAGTCTACTTACTCTAATTATTTACTTACTATATATATATATTAGCCTTTAATAAAGTATTTTTATATATAGTTCCTAACGCTTCTTTAAGAATATACTTAATAGCTATTAATCTATATATTAGGGAGCTATTTAGATAATTAATAAAGTAATCCTTAATAAGAGTTCCTTAAGAAGGTATCTCTATTATATTATATATTATCTAGGAAATCTAAGCTAGTAGTGTTATTAAAAGGGATCCTAAAGGTATTAAAGTGTATAACTTAATATCTAGCTTTAATAGTATACTTTTTAGACTTAAAGGCATAAGCCTTACCCCTTTAAAGTCTTCTTAAATATTTACTTTTATAAGAGCTTACTTAAAAGCGTTATAAAATACTAAAAAGAAGTTATTTTTTATAATATAGGTATTACTATATTATATCTTATCTTTAATTTCTTAACTATACACTAGCTTTAAAGGCCTAAAACACCTAATACCTAAAGGCTAAAGTAAATAAGATAAATAAGGTAGTATATAAAAAGTAATAATATTATTTTCTTTATAATATAGCTTAAAGTTTCTAAAATAGTAACTTTTATACTTATTAATAATAAGAAGGTAATATTTCTTTTTTATATATAACTTTAAATATTAATTAAAGTACTAAAGCTAATTTAGGCCTCTCTTATTTATTATTTATTTATTTTTAGACGTTATAATAACCTAGTTAGGTAAAAGCCTAAATTCTATATACTAAGTAAAAAAAACATTTTTACCTTTAATAATAATATATAGTAAGACGCTATAACTAGATAAACTAATAGCCTAAATAACTATAACCTATTTTTAATTTCTAGGCTGTACTATTTTTATATTTAAACGTCTTTTAACGCTTATAATAACTATTCTAGATATAATCTAGCTTATTATAAAGCTAGTCTTATTAAAGTTATAAATATTAGACTTTATAATACTATATTTTATAATTATATTTACTATAAGGTAAAACTATATATTTATTACGTCTAGATCTTTATATTAAGCCCTCTTATAGTTATACTTATAAAAAGAACACGTTTAAAGCTTTAGTGTTTATTTAATAAAGCTTAAGGCCTAGCGCTTACTAACTAGAGGCATATTATACTTAGTAAATAGTTAATTAGCTATTTCTTTAATACTACTAAGGTAGAGAGAAAATAATTAGGAATCTAGGTTTAGAATAAACTTAACTAGCTTCCTCTCTTTAAGTTCTATTAAATTCTATAAGTTAGGTATAATATTACGTTATAATAGTGTACTCTTTAATTAACATATTAATAAATTATAACTAACGTTATATATTTTTACTATAGCTTAAATACTAAGTTTTAGATCTTTTCTATACGCTTAGATGGCTAGCTATACCTAAGCTTTATTATAAGTTAATTTTATTATTATTAGTAGAGAAATAAAAAGGAAACGTTAGATAGTTTAATAGTTATAGTTTAGTAGTACACTTACTTATTTAGCGCGCTTGCTTGTTATATATAATATATAGAAATATATAAGTAAAAATAGAAATAAAGTATAATTTAGTAGCTAATATATCTTATACCTTAGTAATAAGTGCTTTATAGTATTAGTAGTTTATACTTTACGCCTTAGTAGCTAAGGCATTATACCTTAGTAGTTAGTATACCTATATCTTAGTAGCTAGTAAGCCTCTATAGCGCTAAAGAATTTACTATAAGGTAAAAAGAACTAGAACCCTTAGTTATAAGAACTATTAAGTACTTAGTAAATAGAATAAATAGCTCTATAATAGCCTAGTAAAGCTACTAGGCCTTAGTGTAGATTTCTTTCCTTTTTACCTTTAAAGTCTTATAATAGGAAAGATAGTTATATACTAAACTAATATAGTATTACTACTATAATATAAAGGTAGTTCTTTTTAGTTATCTAGCTATTATTAGTATAAGTAAAGTGCTATTTAGTATATCTAAATACACTTAATAAGAACTACTAGTCTTAAAGACTTTTACCTTTATATATAACTAAAGGAGGTAAAAAGATACTAGTAGTAGATATATACTTAATAATAAATACTTATTACTATAAGCCTAGCTGCTTTTTCTTTATTCCTCTTAATACTATAAAGCCTAGTACTAGTAGAATAAGGCAGGATTTTAGACTTTTTCCTTAAGTTACTTTTTATATAGTTTTTCTAGCTAGTAGAGCCTTAATCATCCTAATTAAGACGTTAAATACTAATTAAGACTAAGAAGATAAACAGATTATAGAATTTACTACAAACAAGTTACCCCTACCTTTAACTATAACTTAATTATTATTATAATTAAGACTACTTCTACTAGTTATTTAGGCCCTCTTAGCCTAATTAGGCCTTATTAGCCTAATTAAGCTACCTCTTTTTTATAAATACATTAGCGTACGCCTAGATCCTCTGTATATAGACCCTATACTACTTAGTAATAATAGTATTACTGCTTAAAATTAACTACTAGTTAGTAACAGACTCTCTTTTAGTAACCTTAGCCCTAAACAGGCTAAAGGCTATTAATTGAGAGTATTGTTACCTCCTGGATGGGAGTCAGTGAGTCACCCTTGTGTTTGTAGGCGCTTAGGGTACACTAGCAACAAGGTGTTATAGCAGTATAGTTTAGATTAGTTACGTGTATGCTAGCTATCCTGCTATCTTGCGTATTAACTTCCTGCTTAGTTTTACTAGCCTATTATCTCTTTTACCCTTTATAATACTAGTTTTATTTATATTTTATTAGTTAGATAGATAAATCCTTTAGATAGTAAGGATATAGGCTAAATAATATAAGAAATCCTAATTAACCTTAGAAGAATAGGCTGCCTATTACTAGGTATTAATTACTCTAGGTCTCTAGGTTCTAATAAATAGGTTTTACTATAGGAATTAGCCTATTTACTTTCTTCCTATAGGCTGCTACCTATTACCTAGTCTCTACTTTACTAGTCCTTTTACTTATTAATAGGTAAGGGCCTTACTAAGGGAATCTTAAAGGTATATATAGGTAGCTAGATTATCCTTTTATAACTAGGATAATTCCTATATATAAAGATAGGTAGTAGTTTTACTTTACCTACTATAGTATTAATACTAAAGTGTTAAGTATAGTATACCCTATATATAAGCAGCAGCCTGGATACTATGCCTAGCCTGCATATCTAGAAGGGCCTGTTAGAGCTTATCTTTGGTATATTGCTTTATAATGGGTTAAAGAAAGGATCCTGAAAAAACGGCGTTGTTTGGCGATATATGACAATTGTTGTGGTGGCTTGAAAAAGGTAGTGGTGTTGATGGGGGATGGATGCGGCATTTCTGGATGGTTCGGATGTGGGGTGGGGTAGTTAATTCCATCTAAATGCTGCCCTTTTCGGCCAAGGCGTAGATTAGCTCTATTCTCTCAAAAGGCCGAGGAGGCCAAGTTGAATTATACAAACATGCCCGTACCAATCAGTTTAATCAATTCAACCCTCATCTTCTCCCCCAATCAATACCCTTAGCCAATCCTTGTACATGCTCCTTGTGTAAGTAAGGGGTTTTTAGTAGAGTAGTGTAATAGGACGCTGACAGTGACGCCCTGCGAAGAGATGATCCGGCCGGGCGCTCTAACTAGTTGAGCTTACCTGCCAAAAGGTCTATCAATGCTTGAGTTTCCTTACTGAATGTTGCTGTCAACGCCACTTAAATTGCCTATCGCCATCTCATAGGTAAGGGATTGCCACCCTGCAACACGTAGAATGCGAAGTAAAGCCCGTAGCTAACTGAAGTAGCTTCAAAGAAGTCGGGATTAATACCAGGAAGCCCATAAGATGAAGATGTGATTAGTTATCACGATAAGCGCGGATCATGAAGAACTGGTTAGGTGCCCAGCAAGCACCCTCACTAGTAACAACAAAGCCTTTATCTCGCAGAAGCTTCTGAACATCAGGCTTAACTCCAGAGTTAACAGAAGTCTCTATTATGACGTTATATATCTTGTCCCAGTCTGTGTCGTCCAGGCCAAGTAAAGCGTCAAGTTCTGCGCCCTCCACATCAATCTTGAGCAGGTCAATCCTTCTCAGAGTATCACAGCTACCTAGAAAGTGCGATAGCCTTTGGAGATTAACGTCTATCTCCTGGGCTCCAGTGAAGTAATAATTTGCAGCTTCTTCGCCAAAGTGTTCTGTAATTGCACGTCGTAGCTCTACTTTCTGTTCGGGATATAGAGTTGAGTTTCCAGGTGAGTTAGGGAAGTACGTAAATTTCGTAGTGGCTGCCTTGGAGCTCAAACCATAGGCGTAGGTCTTGACGCCGAAGACGTTGTGTAACTCCAGATTCCGGCATAGAAGGTCGTATATCTTAGGTGCTGGCTCAAAGGCAAGAATTGTAGCTGAAGGATGTTTTTGTTTCATATAGATAGAAAATAGTCCAATGTTAGCCCCAACGTCAATAATGAAGGGTAAGTCCGGTAGCTTTGGACCATCATAGCATTTATCTATGTATATCTCCTTATAGATAAAGGTTGCTTCATTTTTGCTTGTAGTGTAGCAGGAGAATCCATTTGCTAGGCCGACTAGCTCCATCGTTATAATAGGTGAGGTAAGAGAAGGGGTGTCTAGAAGGAGGCGGCATAGGCCTTATTACTTATTAAAGGGTAAATGAAGGCTGTATTAGCGAATTCTAAAATATTCTGTGTTAGACGGAAAGCAAAGCGCGTCTTATAGTCAGTAAGGGTTAAAAACTCTAAAAACCCAGGGTAGTTAGGACACCTTTAGTGCGGGGTGGTTAAGTATTAGCTTTATAAAAAGCTTTATTCTCTCCGTAAACATCTTAGTATTTAATCATGTTCATAGATTTCATGACGCCTTGATTTCTTGTAATACCAACAAAGTCTAAGCTACCCCGCGCGCGTCGCCCCTCTAGATAGCATCAGAAGCTTCTGAGGCAAACAGCCTCACGATATCTGTCTCATTATTCCAGCAAACTCAGTGTCCCATGCCATTGAAGATTAATTTTTGCACGCTATCTGAACCTTCTTCAAGTCTTATTAGTGGTGGCTGACGGTGTTAGGTAGGGCGTAGCTAGCAAAAGACGTGCTGCTGCCTGACCTATACACCAAAAGTGAAGTTCTGTAGTAGGGGGGTAAATATTAGTCACCCAACCGGAGTATTTGACTTCGGCCTAATTGTATTTTGGCAGGACAGTGCAGCCAGCCATCCTAGCACTGATGGCTTTGTTCTATGCCTGGCTTAGGGTTAGGCAAGAGAGTGTGTGTATACATGTGTTATATTTAACACTAAGATGTTTCTATAGAGGACAAAAGGCGCCTATAGCAACTAGCTACTAGTAGAATAATACAAACTTCTATAATTACTTAGCCTCTTATAGTCTTAAGACTATATACTATCCTTATTATTACCTCTCTAGCTAGACACTTAAGAGGTTAAACTATAATTCTTTATTACCATTAAGTGTGTATAAGGTCTTTAGTAGCAAGGTTCCTTATAGTACCCCTAGTAGTCTCTTTAGAAGGCCTCCTAGAGGCCCTTATATACTTTGCTATATAGTACTACTTATATATCTTTATTAACTAGATGTACTTCTTTTATATTATATGGGCTTAGAAGTACCTATCTTGTGGTATAGAATATCTATTTTCTATTACTTATAAGATATAAGGTCCAGGAGAAAGAGAGAGAGAGTAAGGGTAGAGGAGGGAAAAGATAGAAGAAAGAGAGAGAGAAGAGAGAAAAGTAAGTCCGTAGGTAGTATTCTTATAGAATCTACTTATGTTCTAACGACTTTTATACTTGGTAACCTTAATATAGTTAAAGTTAGCTATTGTTAGTAGCTACCTTTAGTAGTATAGTATAAAATAAAGGTCTTTTAGCTACTTATAATAACGATTAGTATATTTTCTTTACCTTTTAACTATTTAATAAATATTAATAATAAGGGCTAATACTTTTATATATCTAGAGATAGGCTACAGGGTATTAGTCTTACTAGGTAGTAAGATAGGTATATATTGATACCTTCAGTATATTTTACTTAATAAAATATTATTATTAATTATTATAAGTAATAAGGTAGCCTTATAAAACAACTTACTATATAATACTACTTCTAGTATTATATTACTATATAGTTTACAAACAAGTTAGTATTAAGCTATAAGGCGTATTATAATACTACTTAGAAATAAATACGCTACTTTTAACTATATAACTTACTCTTATAGTAAGCCTCTTTTATAAGACTTATAAGCCTAGCTTTATTATAAAGTATAACTTTTATTATTATAAAGTAGCCTTACTTTAGGTTTACTTTTTTCTAACTTAGTACTTTTTTTATTTAATAGTATATAATAGACTATTATAATACTAGAAGAAGTGTTAAATAATAGGTCTTATATTATATAGAAGCTAAATCTTAGAGAACTATTCTCCTATAATTTACCTAGCTTTTACCTACTAAATACCCCCTACTTCCTAAGACACTTTACTAACCTTATAGCTTTTATAGCTAGCTACTACTTACTGCCTATAGGTAGATTCTCTATAGTCTAGTTAATATTATCCTATAATAATTATGCTCTCTCCTAAGCCACTTATATCTATATAGCTAGTAGCTTTCTAGGTTTAAGTAAGTAGGATTTCTAGGTCTTATTAGTAAGGTCTTTTAGGTCTATTAGTTTCTAATATCTAAGGATTTACTAGACAGTCTATATACTAACCTTAGTTACTTACTATAGTTTATATTTTTTTTTTACTTTTTTTTTTATTTTATTTATTTATATCTTAGTTACTAGCTATTCTTATAACTTTTACTTTTATAACTACTACACCTTAATAATTTTTTACTTAAATACCTTAGTTATAGTTATTACTTTTTATTTTTTAATTCTATTTTAGGTTACTTTAGTCTCTTACTAACCTTTAGCCTATTTTATAATAATAAGTTACTAATTTAACTTTTATTAAGCAGTTTAGAAGTTTAAGTATTACTAGGCTTATACTATATAATAGCTAGCTAAGGCGTTAGCTTATTATTACTATTACGCTATACACTACGCTTATAGTTAATCTTTAGCTACTCCTATAAGTTTATCTTTTACTTAACTATTCTTAAGGGATTTAAGTTAGATAACGCTTTATTTTTAAGAGAGTTTATTATCTAAAAGTAATATAGCTAACTATAGTAATATTTATAATAATAATAATAAGGGACGTTATAATTATAAGAATATACCTTTACTTTTGTCTCTATTTAGTAGTAAACTATATACTTTTACTTTATATCTCTTTAATAATAATAAGGAGTAAGGCCTTAGCCTTAAGCCTAATAATAATAATAGTAGAAATAGTTCTTAAGAGCCTAGTAATAAGCTAAAAAGACCTTAGTAAATTCTTAATCTTTATCTTAAGTAACCTTATACTACTAGTTAGCCTTATATATACTGCTTTAATACTATAGTAAAGACCTATAGTAAGGGTAGAACCCTTATTAACTTCCCCTTAATTCTAAAGTATATTTTTACTTTAGATAGTTCTTTTTATTATATTTAGTGTAACTAATAAAGCACTAGTTTTACTTCTATAGGTTCTTATAGCTAATTTATTAACTAAATATTAATATAGTCCTTTAGTGTTCTTTTACTATCCTAAGTAATTACTAAGATATATTATTTATTTTTAACTTTTTATATATAATAGTTTAATATAAATAAACTAAGGATATTTATAAGAAGTTATTTACTATTCTAGTAAAGCTTATTAATATTCTTACTAATCTTAATATTAATTACTATTATAACCTTACTAATTTTATATCTAAGTACCTTAAGGCTATATAATTTATCCTCCTCTTTTTATAGATTTTTTACTAATCTTTTCTTTTAAGATAACTTCTAAAAGTATAACTTCTTAGTTAGCACTTATTACTTTATTTAGTTATAATATATTACCTAAATCCTAAGTAACCTAACTTAAATACTTATTTATTATATAGTATATAGCTAGTTTTCCTTAATATTTTACTTACTAATTTTAGTAGAACTAGTATTAGAATCTATATCTTTTTTTTAGTAACTAAGGTTATATATCTTGGTAGTTATTTAAGTAAAAGGTCTATAATAACTTAGTCTATTTAGTTTATTAAAACGCTACTAAGTTAGTAACTTAGTGCCTTTTTATATACTTCTTAGTAGACCTTTATAACTATATTAACGCTATAACCTATAGATATTAGCCTACTTCTACTTATTTTTAGCTTAATAATTAGGCTTAGGTTTAGTTTATATTATTACTTAAAGTTAGTAGATTTTTAATACTTTTTTACTTAGTTATTACTTATATTATACCTGTTTTATTATTTATTTTTAAAATAGTTATATAGTAGTCTATATTCTTTAGCTAAGTTAGCTTAGACCTTTTAGTACCTAATTACCTTAGTTTTATACCTTTATTTTACTTTTTAGGCCTCTTTTATTATACTTTTCTATAGTTACTTAAGGCCTTTTAGGTATTAACTAAGTCTTTTTTACTAACCTAAAAGTTATATTTAGAGGGCTATATAGTTTACCTAATTAGGAAGTATTTACTATTTTTAGTTTATTTTAAGTTAATAATATAGTCTAGTCTTTATTACTTTTTATCTCCCTTTAGGTCTAGTATAAGTAGAGGTTTAATATTTTTCTTATTACTAACCTAGGGTTCTAGAAGACTTATATAGAATATACTATATATCCTTATATATTTCTTTAGTAGCGCTAGTCTATAAGCCTACTAGCTTACTTTTTATAGTACTTAAAATAGTCTTATAAACCTTAAAGCTAGCTTTTATTTTATTATCTTAAACCTATAGTTTTTTACTAATAATATTACTAGTTAACTTTAGTTAAAACTTATTAGTTAATAGTAGTTATTATAGCTTTTTACTTACCTTTTTACTACTTATTACTATTAAGATAGTAAGTCTACTTTTACTTAAGCTAATTTCTATAGGTAGTTCTATACGTCTTAGACCTCTTCTTTTTAGACTTTACTCTTAAAGTCTATATATATCTTTCGGTTATACCTTAGTAAAGTATAAAAAGGAGATATCCTTATTATTACACTCTTAGCGTTGTTTACTATAAATTCTACTAAGTCTAGTAAGGATAGCTAGTAGTTCTTTTTACTTATTATAAAGTATTTAAGATAGTATTTTACTACCTTATTTACTACTTCTATTTACCTATTAGTTTATAATTAAAAGGCTATAAAAAGCCTTTAGTTTATCTTTAAGTAGTAATATAATAAGGACTAGAACTTACTTATAAAAACTAACTCTTTATTAGTTATAATTCCTTTTAAAGATTTAAATTTTAATTCTACTTTTTAGTAAATAATTTTAGTTAGTTTTACTATAGTAATATATATACTTACTATAATATATAAGTAGAACTTTATAAAACAGTCTATAATTACTAAGATAACGTCTACCTTTTACCTTATTTACTATACTAGTAGTAGTTATATAATAAAGTCTATTAATATTTCTTTAAATAGTTAAAAAAGAATTAGTAGTAATTATAGTCTTT